CAAATGTTTGGCTCGTGTTTCTCGTTGTTCCAATTTCCGTGCTGGTCGTTTTTCTTTCCAGTTATTACTTGAAAACGGCCAGAGAACTAAAGAGGCTGGAGTCGATATCTCGTAGCCCGGTGTTCGCTCACTTTTCGGAGACTCTGGTAGGACTGGACACGGTTCGTACAAGGGGAAGACAGACAGATTTTGTGGACACACTATACAGGTACGTTAGAAACATTGATATTGAGGATGTGTTGCAAGAGCTGATTAATGTAAAAAGCACTGATGAGTTGTTATTGACACTATTTCCAACTTACATCGCCAAACTTTTGTCGTGTCTTTTGAGATTCTTACTGACTTTTGCCGAGACACTGGGTGACATTGCCGAGATATCGAGTGAACCTTTCCTTGCGGGAGTTTTTTCGGAGAGTTGCGCTTTTTTTGAAACAAAGGTTGAGGAATTTGTAGGAAGGCTCCATTCTATTATCAGGCGTATTTCTCTTGTGTGAGAACTAACTGTGATAAACACTCGTCCCTACAGATACCAAGATGTTCACAACCAGGCATACATTATGGTGATGGCCAGCGGTAGATGGCTCGGTACACGTTTGGATTGTCTCACTTCCCTGTTTGTTGGTGCAGTTGCTCTGGCTGCAGTCTTGGTATCCCAAGATGCTGGTAAGCTCAAGATTCTTAGTAACGTTTTTGAGTCTTATTATTTATCACTAATCTGTATAGTCGTGTATCAACACAGCATGCACTACCGAATAATGATAACTCAGGTAAGACTATGCGCGCACTGTCATTGGTCGATAGGTGTGTACGAGTCAGAGTTGGGACATTTTTAGATTCGTGATAATTCTTGGGAAATATTTTATGAAAGCAAATTAATGGAGGACTTTTTCCGTGTCTAAAGAGCCTCATCTAAACATGAAATTGTTTGGAAGAGTAGTGTATCTGGAAGTTATGCAAACCCATGTGGCAGTCATAACCTATCCACGGGTGGTTTTTAAACACGACAGAAACTCGTGTGGCTTAGGAGCTCATCAAACTTTCACGTGTCTTTTATGATTCACCAGTGAAATTTAGGTTGTCAACCTTAAAACAAAGAGCTGGTATATAATAATAATAATATTAATAGTAATAATAATAATAATAATAATAATAATAATAATAAAAGGGTTTCTATCTTTGCCATTAACTGACTGCCAGACTGGTATGGAATTGATAGGATAAAAGTCTACTTTTCTTTTCAGCTTCTGCAGGTCTCGCTCTTGTTTACGTCATCCAAACTCTGTGCATCACTCAATACACAGTTAGAAAAACCTCTGAAATGGAAAACTACATGACCTCAGTTGAACGAGTTATGACCTACACCAAACTCGACGGGGAGCCTGGATACGGGGAAGAACGACAACCCCCAAAAGACTGGCCTCAGAGAGGAAGTATTATATTCAGAGATGTATCTCTGACTTACTATCCGGGGGGACCTCAAGTGCTGAAGCGAAGGATTAGAATTTTCTCTGAATTTTTGCAGCTTGACCCCACGCGACTATGCCATAGAACAAATAGGGTTGGATAAGTGACCCGTAAATGTGGTTTAGAGTACTAAACCACATAGAAACGTATCATTCAACCGCAAACATACAGTACAAAGAAGCCCTATCGCTTATGTAATGTTACGCGGTATTTGGAGAGCGGTCTCTATGAGATTGATGAGGAGTCTGCTAGGTTTTTTTGCTCTTATGGTAAGTTTATCATCTTCCCCATTTTATTTAAGAGCACTCGCCATAGTGAATAATGTATTCGTATGCAGCAATCAAAGGGATTAATTAGCGTGCCTAAGGTTCGGGGTCCTTGGTTTGATTAGTTTTTGTAAATTGAAGACAGTTCACTCGCAAAGTGCATCCCAACACAAGGGAGGACAGTGACATCTATTGTATGTCAAAGAAACCTCAGAAAAGGCTAAATGTTATTATCATTGCATTTTTGTTTCAAATTACTGCAATGCTTTAGAGGTTTAGAGTCATTGCGCATTCTTGCAAGGCAAACTTAGAGCGAATAAAATTAGCTTGACGGCTATTTAATCAAATTTAAGGTTCAGTCTAATATCTTGAGGAAAAATGTGGACAGGATTTCAGACTTTTAGTAAAAGTTTTGCCAAACTTATTTAGAAACGAAAAGAGTCTATCGAGCAGGCAAATTCAGATAAAAAGCGGAAGTCGAAAATTTGAATACATATTCACAAATGAAATTCATGCTCTGGTACATTCTCTGCAGGACAATTTTGCAAACAGCATTTCCAAATTATTTCTGATAAGCAACCAACATTTTTTTATCAAACTGGAAATTAGAGAAAAAAAGGCAACGAATATTTTGAGTTCGCACCACAACGGTCAACGGCGGCGAAGACACACATATGGACTTATACTATTAGCTTAATTATCCTGCTAAAAATATTCAAAAATTTTGTGTCATCAGTTTCGAAAAACTCGAGCTTTGTTATCAACTCGGTGTCCATCCCCATTTTAAAAGTGAAGCAAGCGTTTTCAAATCCACCCATTTTGAACTGTGTTTTCAAAACTCTCAGGTCTCCCTTCATGCAGCCTTGAGAAGACAGGGCTTCAGGCGACATCAAAATTCAACAACAATAACACCAATATTACGATTTGCAACTTATTCTAAAAATTCCGAAAATATACTGACTAAGTGTGTTGTAGAAGGATGTAGCAACGTGAGAAAATTGCAAGAGGGTATCGCGCTTCATACATTCCTTATACAACACACCTAGTCGGCATATTTCGGGTAATATCGACGACAACCTTCCTAAACAAGTGAAAACGTGTGAAATGCAGACTTTCGTGTTTTGACGTCACATTACCCGCTAGAGCCATTCCTCTTCAAACTCGGTCGTGGGGGAAGATGGCGGGCGATTTTTCGTATTTTGACTGGGCACAGAAAATTAAAGATTTGAGCAAATTAAAAATTTTTTGCACAGAAATACTCCAAAAAAAAAGAAAAAGCTTACTTCGTTAAGCGAAAAAAACGTTTTGGGTTTAGGTGCACTTTAATCTCAAGCCCAGGGTCATTTGGGCTTGTCGGCGAAATTACTTGACGACCATATCGCAAACAAGGATCACTATCCAGCCACCCCGGCCTCCATATTGATCAATAATACAAGTGTATCGACCAATGAGAGCGTATGCGTATGATATTAAATGTTTTTTTAAGAGGTGAACAGTGTTTAATTCCAAAGGTAAGCCTTAGCAGATTTTGAAAAAGCCATTTTCCTCTAATACGCCAAATGTTGTAGACCCGCTATTTTGTCTCCATCGAGAAGGATGGTCTCGATGTCTAACAAAGTTTTTTGGCGGCCGCGTGCAAATTTACCGCGCAAAGAAACCGTGACTTACTGACTTAGGAGTATGTTTATAACTCTTAGATCACAACTTGGTTCTGAAACCTTGGAAATGCACGCGCAGACGTTTGACCCCTGCTCTGAACAGGCTAAAAATGAATGAGAATATTTTCTAAATATTTCATAGGTTTAAGTGATGACGTTAAAAGGCGGTTACTGGAAAATGTCCGGTGATGACGATGAAGAAGTCAGTTTTGCATCTGCTCTTTTATTTCGTTGAATGAACGGAGTTCTTAAGCAAGACAGTCAAAGACCTTTGGATTAAAATGACTTTTACCGTTGTCAGACGAGACCTCTGGCCATTTTGTCACCGACAAGCTACGAAAAAGCTGGGAAAGCGAGAAACAT